AAAAAAAAAAAAAAGTAAACAGCACAGCACGGGCTCCATTGCCATCTGTTTTTCAAAATAAATTTGGACAAAGATATCTACAGTCAATTCACACATTCCTTGCTAACTCAGTTGAGTCAAACCTATGCAGTACTGATGAGTCGAGGATTTAATGGTGAAAAATAGAATCAACTAATACAATACCACTTGGGAATAAAAGAATCCAACGAACACAAAACGTCAAAGCAAAACTATCCCAATATACTTCTTTTAAATGACAGAAAAATGTTAAAGAGAGAGAGAGATGAGATCAAAAGAACATTTATTTATGAAAAGATATAAGCAAGAGTTATTTATTGGTCTCTAAAGCATCTCCTGGTGGCCCTAGAGAATGTCGACAGCCGACGACCTCCAATGGGCACTGCACGCCATAGAATCCGACGACCACCACCTTGAGACCATCTCTTTCCACCTCTCTCAACCAACCTCAGCCTCAGGCTCAGGCAGCTGCCACCAAGAAACTGAAAACTCCCTCAAACTACACATCTCAAGAGAACAATTCTCCCACCTTCTCAATGCCATAACAACTAGTTCCCAAAATACACTAACTATTAAACGCCTGGAGTTCCACTCCGTAGAATGGGACCCACAGGCTGCAAAACATCTCGCGGGTCTGCTCGATATCGCCGAGCACCTGACCTTCCAACGAAACAAATTCGACGCAGAATGCTTGTCCGAGCTGTCACGAGCTCTGAGGAACAACAAAAGCGTTAAAGACATCGTGTTCTCCCAATCGGGCCTCGGACCAAATGGAGCTTCATCACTCGCAGGCGCTCTCAGGGACAATCAAACCTTGGAGGGATTCCAAATATGGGAGGACTCGATCGGGACAAAGGGCGCCGAAGACCTCTCACAGATGCTCGAAGCCAACTCGACCCTTAAACGTCTGACCGTTTTCGACCGCAAGCCTGCCGTAGCCGCCCCTCTCATTTCGGCTGTCCTGGCCAGGAACCGGGCCACGGAAGTCTTCGTATGGAATGCCGACCGCGAGGGCAATAGTTCGAAAATGGCCGAATTCGAACCCGGAAAGGGCTCTCTGCGAGTGCGCGGCCACCTGGATGTTGCGGGCGCATGCAGGGTCACTTGTGCCTTGGGCCGGAACTCGACCGTGAGATGTTTCAACATGAGTGGGCTCCGGCTCCAGTCGCGGTGGGCCCGGGAGTTTCGGTGGGTCCTCGAGCAGAACACGACCCTGAGAGAGGTAAACCTGTCGGGCACGGGCCTTAAGGACAAAGGAGTCGTTTACGTGGCGGCCGGGCTTTTTAAGAACCGGGCCTTGGAAAAATTGTATCTTGATGGGAACTCGTATAGTGGGGTGGGCGTTGAACACTTGCTCTGTCCTCTTAGTAAATTCTCGGCCTTGCAGAATCAAGCCAACACGGTTCTAAAGAGACTGAGTTTAGGAGGAGGAGGAACTAAGATGGGGAGGGTGGGACTTGCTGCCATTTTGCGTTTTCTGGCGAGCAACCAAAGCATGGACTGGTTGGGCATACACGACGATGGGAGTTTGAAGCCGGACGGGATAGTAAAAATCTTGGAGAGCTTGAAGAGGAATTCAACTCTGAGGTGCCTGTCTCTCCAGGGCTGCAAAGGGGTGAACGGAGAACAAGTATACCGGGCCATAATGGAGACATTGGATGTGAATCCCTGGATAGAAGAGATTGACCTCTCAAGAACACCGCTCGAGGCTGCCGGAAAAACGGAAGACATAATTCAAAGGCTAAAGCAGAACGAGATGAGTGGGCCTGGGGAGATTGATTTGCTCAACGATATGGCCATGACTACGTCTAGGAGCTGTCGGGTTTTTCTATGTGGCCAAGAATGCGCTGGTAAACTAAGAATTTTCTCTATCTTTCTTCTTGTGGAAACTGGAGTTTGAAATTTTTTCATGGCAACTCGTGCAGGTAAAACTACGTTGTTCAATTCGATATTGCAGAATTTGTCACCTTCTAAGGTGCCATACATGGACCACATGAGGAGCCTGGTGGACCCGATCGAGCAAGCAGTTAAGTTGCCTGGCATGAGTATCAAGACCTTTAAGGATGGAGACACAAGGATCTCGATATGGAACCTCGCAGGCCAGCACGGGTCGTTCTCACTGCATGACCTCATGTTCCCTGGCCATGGCAGCGCGTCCCTCTTCCTGATTGTGTGCAGCATGTTAAAAAAACCAGGCAATAGAGAATTGAAAACCCTGAACGAGATCCAAGAGGATCTTGAGTTCTGGCTCCGGTTCATTGTTTCAAGCTTGAAAAGAGCCGTTCAACAGTGCACGCTACCGAGTGTGACGATAGTGCTTACCCACCACGACAAAGTTGATCAGCAGCCGGATGATTTCCAGAACACCGTTAATATGGTACAGATGCTGAAAGATAAATTTGAAGGGCTCACTGAGTTCAGCCCGATTGTTTTCACTGTTGACGCAAGATCATCAGGGTCAGTTAGCAAGCTCAGCAAACATATCCCACGAACTTGCAAGACAATACTTGAGAAGGTTCCTAGAGTTTACCAGCTTTGCATTGACCTGGTGGAAATTTTATCCGAGTGGCGGCGGGAGAACAACGACCGACCATCAATGAAATGGAAAGAGTTTTCCGACCTGTGCCAGGTGAAGGTCCCGTGTCTGAGAATCCAATCGAGGCACGATAACAGGGAGAGAGTCGAGACGAGGAGGAAAGCATTGGCTACGAGTCTTCACCAGCTGGGGGAGATTATTTATTTTGATGAGCTGGGGTACGTGATTCTTGACTGCGGGTGGTTTTACGGGGAGATGCTGAGTCAGATGATGAGGATTGATTTTAAGAAGCATGTTCCGAAAGAGAATAACGGATTCCTGTCCAGAGAAGAGTTTGAGAAGATTCTGAGAGGAAGCTTGCAGAGTAACATGATGGAGAACCTTGATGCTAATGGTCTTATAAAGATTATGCTGAGACTCGAAATATGTTTCGAGCAAGAGTGTTCAGATTTGGGTTTGGCTCTGCTGGTACCATCGAGTTTGGAGGATGGCAGGTGGAGGCCTCAGAAATGGCCGGTGGACTCTGCTAATAGCAATTACGTGGGAAGGCGTCTTCAGTGTGATGAGTCGAGCCACGTTTTTTTGGCACCCGGTTTCTTCCCACGGTTACAGGCAAGTCTTGCTTTCTTTCCTGGTTATTTTATTTATTTATTTGTTTTGTTTTTTATTTTCATTCTCAAATGAAGAATGAAACATTTGGAGAAACAACAGGTTCTTGATAGGGAACTGAAAAGCAAGTAACCTCTAGGAACTCTTAACAGGAGAATTCTTTAAAAATCAGAATCTATAATCTTGCCAAATCTCTAATGTAATGCCTTTGGCGTGGCTTTGTACTTGATAGGATAATGTTTTAGGTTCTCATATAGACAATTTCCCTGTAACAAGACAGTTAATTTCCTCAACTCCAGGTACTTCTGCACAAGAAGATCACGAGACTGCGTGAGCAGCACGGAGCAGCATCTTACATCCTCGAGAAGCATCTGATCTCGATAAACATAAACGGCATTCACGTTCGCGTGGAGCCTGGAGGGCAATCGAGTCATTTCATAGACGTCCTCGCATGCTCCTCCAAGAGCCCGACCGAGATGCTCAGACTCTTCCAGCACCTGATAACACCATCCATACAACAGACCCTCTACCATGGACCCACACTCACAGAGCACGTGATCCGACCCCAATGCGTGAAAATTCTCACGCCCCCAAGACACCGCGAAAGCCACTGCGTCCCTGTACAGCAACTAAAACGAGCCCTGCTGTCGGTCCCCGCAGACGGCATGTACGACTACCAGCACACGTGGGGCGACGGGTTCGACTTCGCCCGTGACCTTCTGTCTGACGACGATTTTCGAGACGTGCTGCACTCCCGATATAACGATCTGTACAACCTCGCCATGGAGCTTCAGGTCCCGCCCCAGGAGAACGGGCCCCAGGAGAACGGGGAAATAGGCGCCTCTGTGGACCCCACGCTGGGCGGCATAGCCAAGGGCGTCGAGGCTGTTCTACAAAGGCTAAGGATAATCGAGCAGGAAATAAGAGACGTGAAGAGGGAGATCCAAGGGCTGAGGTACCATGAGCAGTGGCTGTTGGGTGAGCTCCAGCGCAAGGTGGGGTACCTCGTGAACTACAGCGTGCAGCAGGAGGAGCGGAAGGTGCCCAACATGCTCTACTTTGTGAGGACCAACAATTACTCGAGGAGAGTGGTCACAAGCATGGTCCCTGGCATGAGAGCCATGAGGCTGCACATGCTGTGCGAGTTCCGAGGAGAGATGCACGTGATAGATGATCAGGTGGGGTGTGAGGTGATGCGGGTGGACAACGAGGCCGTCAGGTGTTTGGCACCTTACGTCAAGGGTTTCATGCGGCTGGTGACTTTTGCACTCAAGATAGGGGC